TGGATGTCGATTGAATTAACATGAAGGATGTCGATTGACAACACGATGACGTTGATTGACGAATCGATGTAGACGTCGACAGCCAAACGACGTCGATTGAGCCAAACTTCCATCATCAATAAACGACGAACGACGCCGACGATCAATAAAACGATGACGTCGACATCACCAAACGACGTCGATTACCAAACACGAAGCGACGTCGACACAAACGATTTAGCGACGTCGACATCAGCGACGAATGACGTCGACATCATCAAACATACGTCGACACAAACACGAAGACGCCGACACCAAACATTTGTGCCGACGTCGACATCGATTAAACACGAAAGGACGCCGATCAACGTACGGCGAATCGACTCCGTTTGAATCAATTCGTCATCACGTTTCTGAATTCATTGTTCATCCGTCTTATGGCGGTTTCGATACCCGCAACGATAATCAGCGTTTCAACGTTTCGACGAAAGTTTCAGCTTTAACGATTTTACCGTTCTGATTTTGATGTCGAGTACCTTAGATAACTTAACAGACCAGAACGATTATGTTACGTCGACGTAATATCAGCCATGACACGGTACAATCATCATCAATATTTGTGTCGGACGTTCATAACCATGCCTTTATCATCAGCAGTCGATGGAATGCAGCCTTCGTAAGTTTCTTTGGTCTTTCTCGAGCGATCGTTTCCGGTACCTGTGGGTCAGAACAGTCGATTAGTGAGTGTTTACAGCCAATGCTAATCAGCAATATTCGCTATGCGGCGGTATTCGTATAACGAACGCCGGTTCGTTAGTCCAGCATGGCGACGATCGAACCGATGTCAATCAGTCGATCACGACTTGCCTTCTGTTTACGCTATTGCCGTCGAACATCAATATCTTCACGCAGTAGGCGAGGGCGGCGGTTGCATTAAATAACACATTGATGGTTCTGGCCCCGAAATGTATTTAGTGTCGAAACATGGATTTCAATCATATGATGAACTATATCATGCCCAAATAGTAAACTTCGTTTAAAACAAGAGTCCAACCAACCAATGATGCCCCTACCGATTTAAGCATCATCAAACAGCGATGCCGTAATAGATTACGATTGCAGGTTACGTACTCGACCACACGCCGATGTTTAGTCGTATTGTTATGGCGAGTCTTTATCAAACAAAGGAGTAATGATGACACGATAATGGTCGATGTTCGAGTTCACGACGAAATGTTATAGATTCGGTGGTTGATATACATGTCAACAACAATGCGTAATATTGAGAAATATGTCGTGCTTAGTCATTCTTCGCCGACGACGCACGCGTATAGTATAAGCCGCGTATTGAAATTCAGAATTTTTTAAGCCGGTTTTTGATAGTGCTAAATTCATCGAAGATACCATGCCGCAGCGAAGCATTTATCGACTAATTCACTTCCGAAAAGCCAACGTCTCTGGTGTTGCAATCTTTCGATTATGTATGAGATGCCAGGTCAACAGCCACCGATATGAACGTCTTACCGACGCAATACGATGACAAAGGTATATTAATTGCTACGGTTGTTCCGGCACATTCGTATTAGCCCAATTAAACACAGAGGATGTCATATCGGAAACAAGTAACGTTGTTATTGTCAATAGACACAGAAACAGCCAGATCAGAGCGGCGACATTTCACGTTCAGTTATAGACACGAACACCAAACATACCGTTAACGCTTCGACAGAAAGATTTAACGTGAAACGAATTGTTAGCAGCCGAAGCGAGCGAAGGGTCCGGAAACATATTGCATACGCGACAAGTTCGCACCATCTCTACCCGACAGTGCGCGCATACCACCGTTATCAACATTCACCCATTTAAGAATATCCAAGCGACGAGTGTCTCCGAAGCCGGAAGTTACCGAAGTTAACAAAGACTTCGAATGTCTTGCGAGAACACTTGACCATACCACGTATCACGCAGCGCTTCATCATGTTAACGATTTCTCCGTCGCTGTTCTCCACCTCTGCAGTTAGCTCGACAGACAACCTGGAAGCGTGCAACAACTCGTGCGTACTACAGTTTGATATAGTCGCGCTTCGAAACGGTAATGAAGAATCCAAGTTATAATATGAATAGCCGAAGTGGAATAATAAACATTCGAAAACGACGAAATAGAGAAAGATTTACTAATATTACTATCTCATACTCACATACTACTACTAATACTACTATCACATTATTACACCTCTACTACATTGTCAAAAATACCCCTACTATCATTATTACTAATATACGTTATTACTATTACTAATACTACTATTGGCTGGTTATCACTCTACTAATACTAATAATATCATTATTCACTAATAGCTGTTGGGTTCTTCTATCATTAATATTAGCCATTACGTTATTAATATTGATTAATATACCATTATTTTCTATTTTCCTTACTACTAATATCAATATCATCAATAATACCACTATTACACACACTACTGATTACTACACATGAAAGACAATACTAATACTATACACACATCACACTATTACTGCTTCATTTCTGCCTGTTACACATTAATACCACATTACTACTACACATTTCATACTCTTTACTTCATTACTACATATTAACAGTAATCATTAACGACTTCTACTGAGGTTTACTAGTTTCAGTTCAGTTTATGTTCTATCGATGTTGTGCTGAGGAGTTATCGAAGATAGACTCAGTTCTCAGGAGTCAGTAGGTCAGTGGTTATTCAGAACAGTTCGGTGACTGGGTCACCGTGTTCTCCCTGCTGGTAGTGCACAGGTGACACCCTTCTATTGAAATAGACAACTTTTCAGACTAATATCGTTCTGTCTGTATACATGCTAGCTGAACCCTAGTATGTCTTAAGACGATGTCCTGGGATTAAGACTGGATATTTGTGCATACATGTTTACGGTGTTGACGTATCTTCTTAATGGGATGACAACACAAGAGAGCATGCATATGTAATGTAGGCTCCTTGGTGTGTGTATGTTACTGCCATGGGGAGAGTGATATGCACCTACCTCCCGATCCGGGCACCCCACCTAATTTCATCTCCTAGCATGTCTTAAGACGATGTCCCGGATTAAGACTCGATATTTGTACATGTTTACGGTGTTGACGTATCTTTTAAATCTAAGCACACCGACGCTATATAAACATGCAATGCGGCCCCGGTGCATGTTTACCGTCATGTATATGATATTCCACTCCGATCCAAGCACCCCCAACCTACTGTTCCCCTTTAATTCTCGAATTCCAAACGACAGCAGCCGCCATAACCCAGCTTATCAATTGTCTTAGTCCATATGCCAATCCCATATGTCATGCCCGATACAAACTGGTACGAATCGAAAGAGGAAAAAGAATACGGGTGGTTTTTCAGGATAATATCTTTGCGAAGTATATGTCGCTTCCGGAGATCTTCGTAAACGATGCCACTCTTTGACAGTGGCAACCGACATGGTAGAGATAATAATGATGGTCTCTACTCATTGGTTCTTTCGAGAATAATACGCAAATGCTTTCGGCATATACTTCTTTGAGTGTACAGAGGGCATGTAAACTGAGGAAAAGAAGAAAGCATCCTTCTTGTTATATACATGCTTCCCGGACGTTTGTTTATTTTACCCATGCGCGTTATTAATTTTGTCATGCATGTTTGTGATTTTATCATGGTAGGTTATCAATCTCTTGGTGCAATGCCTGCAGATCTTTACCGATGCACCTCGACGACTTTAATGCCGTAGGTCATTACCAATACTATGCACCGCCTGCGATCTTTATCACGCACCCTTTGATGACTTTTATCGCAGGTCATCAACATTATCATGCACGCCTGCGACTTAATTTCACGCAACACCGACGACTCAATCGCAAGTGTCATTACCCTATCTAAACGCCTGCGACTTTATCACGCAACCTTTGATGATTTTATCACGCCAGTTATTAACGTCCGCCCGTATTGATTGTCAATTTATCATAAACGCCCGCCTGTTTCCATCGCGCAGGCCATCGATCTTTACCACGCAATGTTCTGACCTTCTCAGCAAAGTCAGCCATCATGCAAAACGGAACCAACGTCCACAGCAGAAGACTCAACGAAACGCCCACGCTACTCATCATCGGTGCCACACCAGACGTTACAACCGTCACTAAATCAAACAAACGAACCGTTCTCGACGACAACAATTCGCGTTGATCGGCAACGCAGGCATCCGCCAAAACACCCGCTTCCTCTGTCACCAATAAACCCTGTATTTCTACAACAATAAAACCCGAACATCTTACAACCCGTTGCGGAAACGACACGCCCGCCCAGTACCCCATCAGATTCTGAATCCAGAGCCCAGTCGCAAAGCGTCACGAAAAAGTTTCTTCACTCCGTCCTCACCACACTGACCGGTCGCCTTGCGCAATTTATGATGCGATATCCGGGCGACACCCATCGCACGTGCTTGCGACGCAGCCTTCCACCAACGGACCTCGGCAATCGTCGCCCAATACCCACAGGAAAAATCCACACCGTAGCGGCTTTATACGGTCAGTATAAAATGACGCATTAGAAGCCATTTCCCTCTGCACGCCCGTTCAAAAATGTATTGTTTTGAGACAGCACCCGCACTCTTTCCAAATATTTAATATAGTCGAAAATGAAAAAGAAACAAAATTCAATTCTCCCATGAAATTATTACGCTTCTATAAAGAGCGCCATATGGTAAACTGTCTCGCCATGTTAAAATCCAGTTGTGCATATTCAGCAGTTCTTTATAGGAGACAGTCTCCAAACGACTTCACATTCTGAACGAAATACACCTGCAAACAAGACTGTTAATCCAAGCAGCATTTCAAATTATCAATAAACTAGCATCTTCCTCTTTCAAAGTGTACATTGCCACACATGCACCCCATTGGGTGCATCGTTAAGTACATTCTTACGCCGCTTCACGTAGTTGCGTAAGAAACGTACCGGAAGACTGCACCTCCAGCTGTATAGGGAATCTTGAGTGAGCGAGCTCTAGATTTACGCCGCACTCAGCAATATTCCAGCTATATGGCGGAGGTCTGTAAATAATGGAGTCTGGTCCAGACAATCCAGTGATCAACAGCATGAGCACGATCTACGCAATTGGGAAACCGCCATTACGTGTGAACCAAGTCAGCGACCCTGACCACCCGATCCCGTTAGTCGCCTCTTACGACAAGCAAGGGTTACTGAAGATCAATATTCTAACGCGGACCTTCACGGGTAGGAACATCTGGAATTTTAGGATATATTTGCTGGGTTCAATCCTTGCATTTATATGTTTTAGGTCCGTGGATCTCTTTATGCGCAACAGACTCTCAACTCTCGTGTGTGACACGGCACATGTTTCCATGGTATCAAATCCAGTGAGGAGCATAGTTTTACGCCGATTTTAGCAACATTCCAGCAATATGCCACAGTGGGACCCCAAACAAGGGACTTTCACAAATTGAAAAATTCCATGTGGGGAATCGGAACCCGGGTCGTCGGCATGATTTTAGAACGAACGTTTGCATCAACCACTGGAGCCTGGCGATGTAAGCAAAATACCAGTAAGCCTTTTACCCACGTAAGATAATCAGTTACTTCCCGGTATTGCAAACCTGCATGCTGTAAGCACGCTTTCTCCAAACTTCGATCTTCAACAGTCATAAATCAATAATAACGATACATTACAGATTCATATGGTGCATATTATCTATAGAGATCCTGATCAAGAACGCTCAGTAATCGGCTGAAGAGGTGACCAGAAGCTGCTGATGGCCCCAGACCCGACACATCCACTGGAAGCGAATTCCGAAGAGCGGTGTTAACAGTGCTGAAGATTCTGTTTTTCCATACATTGTTATGCACGCCAGTGACATCCACCATCTGCTGTTGTCAGCTTTGTAAAATATGGCATATTCTTGTAGGTACACTGGCGCTGTATTCATGGAATGGATTTCAAGTAACATGTGCAGCTTTGACCATAATTTCTCTCTTCCTAGGTGGCCACCGCCGTTCTCTGATATCTTGTTCAATCCTTTTGCCATGCATTATGGTCTATAGTGTTTCACAGGACGACAACTTTGGCAAACAATTACATTCTGTAAGGAGAACTCTCCATTGCATTACACCTATAACTGCCCTATTACTCGGGTCTGTTCGTTGTCAGGGCTGACTAGTCCAGTTCAGCGACTGCTACTGCAAAGGCATCCTCTTGGGCACCCGTGAAGGTCCGAGTTAGAATCGGTATTCAGCAACTGACGCTTGTTTTAAGAGGCGCCTAACGGATCGGGCGGTCAGGCTCGTTGACTTGTTTTGATGCATATCATCGTGTCCTTAGATGTAGATCGATGCTCACATGATGTCAATCACAGGATTGTCGGGTCCAGGCTCTGATCATCATACTACAGACCGCTGTCACACATTACCTGAGTTTTAACTGAGAGCGACTTCGAAGAAACACCCAAACAAATATGACTGGAGGCTTATACATCGGCTATCCTTTGACATCAGGAACGTATGATCGAAAACAGGCGATTTCATTGCAGTCTCTCATCAAAAGGGCATGGTTAATCTCTGTCGACGGAATTTGATGCAGGGCTAATCCCTCGAGCCTCCTTTTATGGTCTTATAACCTTAGGGTTTGGAATCCTCGGTTAATCGTGATTGCAAGTTCCAGGATTCGCCAACGTATCGTGTAGATTATCAAAGAGGTAAAACGTCAGTAGCCTCGCATCACCTCCGGTGGACCTCCCACATCACACCGACACGCTGTGACATGACAGAAATACTCTTCCGTTCCTTAAATTCCTCTCATATCGTTACCTTCCAAAAAGAAATTTAATCTCTGAAACCAGCTCTTATATCCAGCGTGCCAATTCGGTACTCCAAATTTATGAAACTCTTTGTGTGGACTATTTATATGTGGCATTCACGCAAACGACTTTTCTGCCAATTTGGTCCAAAATATTTGAAGTATAATATTCCAAACACTTTTAACAGACAAGCATTTCCCGATTTAGGAGATTCCTTCGAAGCCATTGATGTCCTTTCAAGCACCAATCGTATTATTGGTTGCAGGCCGCGATGATTATATTCATCTGGTGTCAAGGCTTGTTCCCATCGTTCTTACTTCTCATTGGTAAGTGTTACGTGTGCATACTACAATAATATATGCATGGCGGATGTGCGTTGTAGCCGTAATAAAAGCGACAAAACTTTCCGCATTCATGAGATGAGTCATTTTAGACTACGCCACGAACATGTGTTTTATGAATCGCTGTAAAATTGTGCTGATGCCAGTCAAAGGTAATCGTATCCTACCCTAAGTTGGCGCCCGTCACAAACACAGGAAAGGCCAGTGCATTGTTAACAAAGTAAACCACTGGAATAAGTCAAATATTATTCGGAATTGCATCCGACATCATTGCTGTAGCTGATTTGGAAAAGCCATTCACATGTCTACCATGCATAGAAAGCTTGTAAGACAAACTGAGGCCTTGAATGTTGTAACCTGGACAACCGATATTTGACGTTCCTTGAAACCGTTTTGGAAAGAGCATGCATGGTTGAACCTCATAAGTTGTGAAAATGTGGACACCAACTCCAGGCCCCTATTTTCTCGAAACAAACTTAAGTCTGAGTTTTGACTTAAGTTAGAGTTTTACCAAATTTGAGAAAACACAGGAAAATGCATTTCCAGAATGAACTGAATCGATACTAAACTCAAACATAGTATATAATTTGAGTTTAGTGGATAGATTACTTCTAAGTTGTTTGGGCTTTAGTCTTAAAAAGGCAGTTGAGTTAAAAATTCAGCTGCTCAAAATTGTCACACTCAGTTTAAAAATTTGAGTAAAACCTTAAGTTTGTTTCCCGAGAAATTGGGGCCAGGAGAGCTGCTGGAAAGTAAGTAATGAAAGGATAATGCACCGGTAGGTAAACAAGCCCCACTTTTTCTTGTTATCTGCGTGGACAACCTCAATGATAAACGTTCTACACGAGAAATGCTGCTGTTTCTGCGATGAAACCTGAGCGCTCATTGGTCTGGCTTACCTCCCCGTTGACCCAGGCTTCTCCCTGATATGTGTTTCAAAACACCAGAGAATGTCCCATGTATTCACGGAGATGGTGTTATATACTGTTTACAAAGCATGACGTATTAAATTTTGAGGTGCTCTTTGTTGTTTTAGTCTATCTCAGTCCCCGGACCACATTACTTTCCCTACTGCCTAGTCCTCCCTAATGCTAAAGCCTTTAAATGAAGCAAGTCTTAGATTTCTCAGGTTCTGAATCTCCATCTCTATGGGGTTCTTATTCAATCCAAATGGGTTCATTTGTTAAGTTATCAATATTTCTATTTATTACTTTGTTACTATATATATAGTATGACCAGAAATTATTAGAATTTTAGGAATATGTTTAATTGGATTTCTAGTATAAAACAAACTGTGACCAGGGATATCAAGTGCTTGGTTTCATTCAAGAGAGACAACCTTTAATCCTTTTTCATTAGTTTGTGAAGAGTTATCCTTTCTTTACTTGCTAGCAGACGACATTTTCAGTGATCCTCAGTATGGATGATTTAGAAAGTTGATTTTAGAGTATTATAACAAGGGACATCAGATCAGCGATTTCAAGTAGGACAGGCATCCCTGACCCTCACGTTTATCGTGTTTGAAACATACGCAAATGCATATGCATTGAGCACCAGGATGCTAAGGCAGGGCCCAAAAATTGGACTGTCAAGACAGAGGCGGCTTGAGCCTTATTCTCAAAACAAACGAAGGAGCTTAGAAAACATAAGGCTGATATGACTGATAGAGAAGCGTGGCTGTCTGTAAGGAGACCTTAGAACTGAGCCGTACGCAATGGGTTGGCAGAAAAAGTCGAGGAATCCATCACCGATCAGCGAAACCTTGAAAACAAACGAGCGAAGGCTGAACTGGTGCTTTGCAGCATAGAAATCTTTAACTGGGGACAATGTGGATTCTCTAGATGAAAGTTCCCCGTGGTGTGGCTGTTTCTATCACACTGAAATTCTGGAATTCAAACAAACTGAAAACCTTGTATCAAAGTCCAAAGCACAAACCGAAATTCCTTAACGTAAGTGGCATGAGCCCAGTTGGGGCAACGCCCCTCTGCGTATTTCGGAGATGGAAATTACGGAAATTGCGCGGAGCTGCACACAGATATTCGAGGGATATTTACTCCATCTGCCCAATGCGGTTCTATGGAAAAGGATTTTGCAGGACAACGACCTAAACATCGGGTTCAAAGCATTCACAGGCCTGGTTTCGATCCAAAATATGACATTATTAGATTGGCCATAGCCCTGACCTAAATCCAATGAAACATTAGACGGCGAAGGAAAGTACTGACTAAGAAAAATCTGACAAATATTGGGTTGAAATGAAAGAAGAGGTGGTAATGATATTGGGGATTACATGGACCACGACTTCAGAAGCCGCATTGAAGCCTGCGTAATTGTTGCCCATGCAGGACTTGACAAAATACTGTTCACCTGTCTTGAATCTTGAGTTAGTTCCTGCTAATGCCCCACATTTAATACGTTAGTAGTAATGAGTGAAAAAATAGTCAGTAAATACAATCCTTAAATTCTCAATAATTTCTTATTGTACTGTATATTCAGAGACTATGTTAGTCTGCGGCTGTGTTCTACCTTGATAAATGTTGTTTGAGGTCAGCACTCCTCAAAATTCCAGCCTCCAGAACGAGGCCCAGAACCAATTATCGATTGTGGATCAGATAATCAAATGACATAATGGGTATCGATGTACAGACTTAGGACACGATGATAAAGTACAACCAAGTCAGATAAAGCAATATTGATCCGATTAATTGCCTTCTATTAAATCCAGCATGGGTTGCTGGAAGACTCAAATGTATCATTCATCTTCATTCATCTGGATTTGTGAGCAGGTGTGGAGTCACACTTTTTTTATCTGTTTTGTCACAAAACAAACGAATTTCCACATTGATGATCCTGTTGACAAGTTGTTCATGAATTTATTTACTCAAGAACACGTGTCGAGTCTTTTGTGTTTGTTCAGATAATTGGAGCAGTAACATATTTATCTTCATTGATATTTGTTTTTTTTTAACTCCATTTTCTTTCTGTAGAACACTCTGTACCTCTATATTCAGAGCGATATTCGTATTGGTGCATGCATAGGCTTCCTGTGCGAAAATAACGATAAGTTGATGATGTTGAGCGTTAGAGCTTTAACCTTTTGGTATAATTGTGTCAATATTATGATGCTGGAGGGAATGATTGTGCCCTCAGAAACACAAATAGCATTATCAAACTCATATCGATGATAACATTGTTGATTTCGAGAATTATGTCCATGGTTAAACTAACGTTTATATCCTGCATCGAATAGATACTTTGGTCAATAAATATACAAAGGCTTCACGAACAATACAAACAAAAATGTACATTTATCGCTGCTCATACACCCGTCATCAAACGATAAATACAATGCTTCACGCCATTTTTTCTTGGAGATTTTGTAATGGTCGCAGAGTTAATGTCGCTTTCTGATCAGGGCTGGAGGTTGCCAAGAAGCCGTCAGTCCAATTTATACAAAGCCGCTTGGCTATAAGTGGTGACGACATTAATGATCTGATCGCTTTACAGCTAAACGTTCAACCAGGATGAGAAGATTAAACGGCACGCAGTCACAGCTGTCATACGTTTGTCAGTGTCATTAGGCGGATTAGTCAACAATGATGAGGACTACTCCAGTCAGCATTTGTGAGCGTGGGTGAGACTTGATATAGTCCGTGTGCTAATACTGCTACATCTAGCAGATTCTCCTGTTAACTTACGGTTGAGGATATACAGGCATCTCCCACAGGCTCCAACCGACCCTCGAATATATGCATATAGTTCTGAATGCCATTTGCACGAAACACTCCCCTGGAAAACCCTCAACATTGCCATATCCAATGGTGATTCTCCGTGTACAATTTTATTTGGTTGAGGATATATAGGCATCTCCATAGGCTCCAACTGGACCCTCGAATATAGCGCATATAGATTCGAATCGCTATTTGGGAAAATTGAAACACTTGAAAACTTCAACATTGCTATATCCAGCAGATTCTCCGTGCGAATTTACGGTTGAGGATATATATTTCTATAGGCTCCAATCAATCTTGATCATATGTATATAGATTCGAATGCTATTTGGGAAATGGAAACACTTTGAAAAACTCTCCGCATTGCTATCCAGCAGATTCTCCGTACAGCTTCATTATTATATTATAGGCTTCTCTTATAGGCTCCAACGATCTCGACTATATGCATATAGATCTGAACGCTATTTTGGGGAAAAATGAAAACACTCTTGAAAAACCTCCGCATTGCTGTATCCAGCAGATTCTCCGTGTACAATTTATGAGGAGGAGCTTTAGTTTTACGTCCCTTTAGCAATATTCACAATATCACGGCGGGGACACCAGAAATGGGCTTCAGATTGTACGTGGGAATGGAACCAGGTTTTTGGCGTGACGAGCGAACGCTTTTAACTACTTTTCGAAGCAGTGTATGAAATAGCGTCTCGGCCCGGCGGTCAATATTGCTAGTTACATATGGTCTTACAACTTTATTTTTATAGCCAGCCAATATATTTGGCAGGTTTTGATCATGTCTGACTACGGGAAAATATTTTCAGTACCTATTAACGTCAGGGAAGAGATCTGTATAGTCTATGATCAATCAAACCATGCTAACTTCCATAGATCAGCTTACCCATTTATCTAACACTCAAATGATTGGTCTAGTAATGCTTCAAAAGTAAATGAAGAATGTTGTTCTTTTTTAATAGTATGTACACCACACATCACACAATCACATGAATATCGTGGAGTATCATTGTCCGCTACAAGACGACAGATCAATTCCGAAGAGGTTGGTGAATGATCAAATATGTTCCTGAGATTGATTCTGACTTTTGTTCTGGTTTTTCTCTGATCTATATGATGCGATACTGACTGGAATTAAGAGTGGGCCAAGTTAGCATGTTAATTTGCTGCTGCAATACGTTTACTTTTCACAGGAGAGTTACAACCCCTGTGCTCATTGCATGCAGAACATGTAGAGAACATTCTTGCCAAAGATACTGAGATTGATTGACTTTGCCTGCTCTCTGATCCAGATGGTGAGTGACACTAAAATGAATCGACAATGACCACCAAGTTTTAAAATTTGCTTTGTACATGTTTAAGCTTCGACGTCACCACAAGCAATTCATTGCTACATTATTATACCTCGAGCAGGGCCGGGTTACATGTCAACAGGTCCAGCAACATTTTTCAGTCACTCCAGTCCTTAAAAGGGCTTCCTGATTTGTTGTCATGACCGCCACTAGGTTCAACGCCCCACTGAGGTTATAAGACTGAAGAATCAACTGACGCATTCCCTAACTTTTCTCATGCAATACAAACCCGAAATTCATTTTGTCAAATGAAAACAAATGAGAACAGGACCAAACGTTACTAATATCGGAACACCTTCAGGTATATAGATGATCTGATATGGTTCAAACATGGTCAAACAATGGTTCCTCACCATTCATTCCGCCCAAATGATATGAAACAAAGACGACCAGACACATTGATATCATATAGAACCATGGAAACATCCGACCGACAACAAACCAACCCTTGCCACCAGGAGGACTTCAACCTTCCACGCATCGACTTCAGTCTTTGGTGCTGACATTCACACCTTTGACCCATAACGAGCATTGCATACCTTATTAGATGATAATTGCAGCCGTGTTTTTGCTTGTTGGTATTGCTAAAAACCCGATCGATTCGGTAGAACTATTTTGTGCTGCATATTTTACGCCGTCAATAACATGCTATATTGCTTTTACGTACGCCGTTATATATCTAGTAATGTTGGTAGATGTGAGTGAATGTTATTGAGGCCGTTACCGAACATCCATGGATCCGCAGGCAGTCAGCCCAAATCAAACAAACCAGTGACTGAACCACCAGGTCGATAACAACCCGATCCCCATCATAGTGAAATCTCACAGCATTGATATCTTGTCCAACTGAATCCACGGACATTAGTTGGTTGGTTAGTTTAACGCCGCACTCAGCTAAGACCAGCTATATGGCGGCGGTTTGTAAATAATCGATTCGACCACAACTCCGGATCAACATCATGAACATCGATCTACGCAAATGGGACTCGATGACATGTGTCAACCAAGTCAGCGAGTCTGACCACCTGATCCCGTTAGATGCCCCAACGACAAGCCTGACTTGCTGCAGAACACTTTTAAACCGATCTTCGCAGGTTTGCTACGTTAAAACCAAAATCGTTATTTAAATGAGTCTTTCCATATGAAATACGAGTGAGAATAATAAACCATTTATTGGTAATGTGTGTTTCAACTCATTGGGTGTATTTGAAAGATTTGTTTTTATAAAATATTCCTTTTGATGCCGTTTTGTCGTTGGCTGATATCGGTGATAGGTACCGTCCCTGAATGAACTGACATCCACCCACGTAGCAGTTATAGTCAACAATGCATAAGACCCACACTCGCCTACTGGCAGTGAGTAACCAGTTGACGTGTCACTTACAACTGCCAACTGATAATATTACAGGAGAGTAAAGAAAAATAATATTCTGTCAAGTTAGGGCTTTATAACGTTGAAGTGAGACTGATCTCTACCGACCAATCTTATTCAACACGTTTTAACACATAAACGACAATCGCATCCCCAGGCCATTGGGGATGACGATCATCCCTCGAGCTCATTGTGCTTTTCGTTAATCAAAAGTAATACAATCGGTGGCCTTGCATTGCCACCGACGCGTTCGTCCGACCAGACTCAAAGATGCCAAAGCCGTAAAACAAAACCGCGATGGCCTTGGAAAAGGAACGCCTTAATAATACGAATATACTGGTTTTACGTTGATATACGCAACAAGACAATGATGGCGAAGCGTACAGCAGCAACAACAGAGAGAGAGAGAGAGAGAGAGAGAGAGAGAGAGAGAGATATATATAGAGAGAGAGAGAGAGAGAGAAAGAGAGAGAGAGAGACGAGACGAGACATTGACACTGACATCGACATCGACAATATGAGAAGATTTTGGTAACTATTGTAATCGATCGAATTATACAGAGTTGACGGTGGTCAGTTGTTTCATACCGACGGCCAGTTAGATACACGCCCTTTAATATTATGAATAACGATTCATTTATCATTTATCACCGATAAAAGTATCAATCATGGAAACACAAAAATCCCCAACCATTTTGTCCAGCATAATATGTCCATCGTCACACGCCGAAGACAGTAAATGCCATCGCGAAGTTTCGTTCGTCGTTCTCAGCGTAAAAATGCGATCGCAAGATTATCGTTACGTCGTTCTTCTTCTTCCCGACGCAGTATATCAGGTTAAGACTTCAAGAACCGAGCGTAATATACTTCACCAGCAGATCACCGAAAAGCGCCTAACCGATCAATATTATCCGACCAATGCCATACATATATATCACGATATCCTTTCAGTGTGACGTAACTTCATTTTCCGCGATAACACGGTCATAGATTAGAATTGCGACGCATTAATGCGACGTTCATTACCGTGACTACGAGTCGTCACGACGTCAACATTGTTACTGCCAACGATAACAATAATGTTTCCACACCTGTTTCACCATTCATATCAGCTTTTCACGGTTTGAGCGATCGGACGTTAATATACTGCGCATCTTTCGTTTGCAGGCTTTCCGTCTGGCTGTTATCATTCAATTCGTGTGTTGGTGATGTCCTTCGATCATCATTACCGTATGTTCAGGTTTATCATGTCAATCATGTCAGTTATCCTCGATGAACTCGGTACGCATGTAAAGACCATTAAACGATTTAAATGAGTTGAGCCTCTTCAGTCATTATTTTGCGAGTTCACATAAAACAATTTCTGCGTGTCGGTTATCAGTTCAATCAATTTCGTTGATAATCGGCGTAACTGTCGAATCGCATTAAGCAGCAGCCAGCAACAATACTATTTGTTCCTCAAATGCCACTCAGAAGAAATTCGCGGAAAGCCAGCATGACATGTGAACTCGAACTCCCCATGGTTTATCACCGTTTGACACGGACTGGTTAGTGGTCAGTGATTTCACCATGTGCGGTGAAATTGACAATGGAGTTCAGCAGAAAAATAAGGTAAAGTTGTTGCCAGTTGTATTGTTTTAAGTTGCATCAATTTTCAATATCAGCAGTTGGCGCGGTCTGAAAGGGCGGTCACATTTGTTTGTTAATGTCGAAATATTAAACGTCACGAAAGACGTTACGTCAACAGTGGTGGCAATACATCGCCAGACGATATTGCTGGAATAAAGCGGCGTAAACCAACCAATTGTGACGGTTGTTTGTCTGTTAAAACAACAACCATTATCGGTTTTGTTTTGTGGTTTCATGATCGAAAACATCGTTGAAGCTTCGATATGGCGGAATATTTGGGCACAGGTATCTGAAACGTGGTTCGTCGACTTCAGTACACTGTGTGTAATTTCATTATACGTGTTAGAACTTAATGGCGACTTCCCGAAATTACCCCTGATATCAATGACATAAAGATGTATTTTCAACATCGTTAATTGTTTGACAGCCAATTCGTAACATGTTTGCCCAGTACTCTGGTCATTAGTACGACGTACTCATAACGAGGACAATATAGGCACCATACGCCACGGTGATAAAAGCCGTTCGCTCGGAAAGTTCATTACGAATAAACAGTGCTCTCTTTAAAACTTTATTCACCACATTAAAATGCAAGATAACCGTAACAGAGACAGCCGTTCGAAACATGCACCGACGTTCATTATACTACGACGACAATCAATATGTTCATCTGGCCGATATTATTGTAATGACAATACAACTGTTGTGCGAAGCACTACTTCCTATCTTTTCACTACCTTCGTAGAGAATTGGCAACTATAGTTCATTACTACGTTCAGTTTTTCAACAAGCGAATTGAAATCCTGATTCGTGGACGACAAACAAAATAATGAGAAATAATGACATTAAGTACAGAAACCGTCTCACATATGATCTTTACGGGGTTTAGATGATCAGTGTCGATAATGACTGAAACAATGAACTGGCTTTCTGACGTCATTTCATTCTTATAGGCCCATGACATACATTGTTTATTGTCAAACTAAATATAAGTTATATCAACCGAAAGCCTTGTTGGTTAATGGGTTTGCCAAGATTTTATATTCATACCATGTTCATACTTCGCAACAACCAACGTCAATCAACACCTCACTTCTGAGATCCCGACGTCATCACAGTTAAAAACGAGAGTGGACAAAACGGTCGTTCATCGTTTCAAAGACTGGCTGGTTTCTTAGCTGTGAAGAGTACTTCAGTTGTGTTACAGCGCAGTCAAAGTGTGGGGAAACGCAAAGTGACGGTAGGTGTTGACCTAT